AGATGCTAGAGGTGCATGATTTTGAGTCACAACTGGGACCCTGGACCACGAACTCAGCTGACTGCCTGCAAGGTATGTTACTGTACATACATGAATTTCAGAATTTTTCTTAAGTCATTGAATTTGAAGCTTGAAGTTCTGAAGATCCGTCTGGCTCTCTTTCAAAGTTCATCATAAGTAGCACACCTCTTTCGATCATCCCTCCTGCTATGCTAATGATGTTCCCCCGCCTGCCAGCACCCCTTGTAAGTCCCTTTATATTGATAATACTACTCAGAGATTCTTGCATCTTAAGTACTGTCTCCACCCACCAATATTGCACTGCCTACCATACCCTACCATGACTGCCTGCACCCTGCTGCCTGTTGCATTCTGCCACCCCTACTCACCTCACCATCAGTGAATTGATGAGTCCGTGATATGGTAGCTGTGAGAAATATAGGATGATATAATTCTGCTCCTGCTGAATATACCTATGTATATGGTGAAAAATATGAGTGATTGGTACATAGCCATGGATGTCTGAAAATCCATTTTACCATGAGGAGTGAATGACAAGATCATGATGTTGCACTGCTGCAGTGATCAATGTGCAATAGCATCATTTAGTCACACTTGTTGACTCATACCATATTCCTTCATTTATGTTTTGAACTACCAAGTGATATAAGACTTTATCATGGAAAGCACCATTAGCACTTGTAACCTAATGTAGATTCCTATGAGAGTTTCCAACAAGGCCATGACTTTGTGCCATCATGGCTGGCAAGGTATGATGGTGTAATTAGGTACCATTTGTTGAGCAATATAATATTCCCTCATTTATATTTGATTTACAAAACTATGTAAGTGGGTTCAAATATTGTGTGAATTACAATGTCATTCAAGGTCATGCACATTGTCTTAATAACCAAGGGTCTTATATAAATGCATGTAAAATGTAATGACACCACAATTACACTAGGATAAGACTTCTTGCCAGTCCTCGATTAAGATGGTCTACGACTTTTCTTCTTTCATGGTAGATAACGTGTGAGTTCTTGGGAGGCTCACTAAACCAATCTATGTGATTAACTTAGCTGGAGCTTTTATGTTATATCCCAACTTATAAACTTGTCTAGGATAAACCATCTAGACACTGGAACGTGGTTCCTTGTTAAGATAATCCTCTGAAGAGACTATGGTCTCAAATACGAATATGTTGACCAAAGACTGGTTGGTCAAATAGGCACAAAGTGGTGAGAAACTGGTCTCACAAATGATCAGATTGACCAAAGCTCGTGTTGGTCAATATCAGAAACTAGGTGAGAAGCTGGTCTCACAAACAAACAGATTGACCAAAGCTCATGTTGGTCAATATCAGAAACTGTTACGAACTAGGATAGTCACAACAACGACTGCTCGATAAGAGCGATGGTCGAAGTTGAATCAAGACCTTACAAATGTAAGGGTCATTTTAAGACAAGTCAGAGAGAGTGTCTCTGGCTTGAATATCAGTGTTCAGACGACTTAAGATTGGGGGTCTTAAGTGAAGGAAGTTCAGGTAAAACCTAGTAAGATTAAAGTAAAGATCTACTAAGTACATGACCGAGTTTATATAGACGTAAGTACTTTAGGGCAGGTACATATACGTCAGCGATGAGTCAGAGATAATGATGAGTCAGAGATAAGCATGAGTCACCTAGCAATGGCAGCGGCGATCGTGGTGTAATACAGTTTAGTCAGGAGATAAGCCTAATGATGGTGTGATAAGAAGTAGCTCGGTCATGACGTAATACAGTGGAAGAAGGGAAAATGAATAGGGGGGGTCCGTGTAACTGTAACAGAAACTAGGTGAGAAGCTGGTCTCAAATAAACTAAGTTTCTATCATAAGAAACTTATGTAATCTCAAGGGAATGTCTTTTCCCTGCACTTGGTACTTCAAAGGGGCTTTCTTTGTAAGCAATAATCTTCACAGTGAGTAGCTCAAACTGAGATTCAAATGATTGCAAGTGGGAGATCCTATTTTTTGGGGGAGAATGGGCCCTCCTTATATACATTTTGTGTGGGAATATTATGTAAGTAAAAAAGCGGAGCAATGACATCAGAAGTGGAGCAGAATATTCCAGAAAGTGGAGCAGAACATTCTAGCAAGTGGAGCAGAACATTCCAGAACAAATGACATCATCATGACATCATAACTTTCAACAGAATACTTGCAGGAGTATCTGTGGAGCCATATGACATCATTATGACATCATACCCTGTAGGTACAATTTTGTGAAGTATCTGATGGGTCAGAGCATCCCAATAGAAAAATAAATCAAGGAAATACTAGAGAAAACAACTCAGAAATAATAATACAATAACAAGACACAAAACACAGGCTTTTTAGATAGGTTTTTGTTAGGCTTTGAACTTTTCTCTATGGTTTTCTCTAGCCAAAGTGAATAAGCCAAAGGCAAGGCAATACCTTAACCTTCTTGCTTCACAATATCAACTAGGTCATTATGTGATTCCCATCTCACAAATGACTTTTCTTCAAGATATAATAAATTCATGAATCACAGAGGGGAAACTGAACTATATGACCAAGGTTTGAAACCAAGGTATGGGTTGACTAGCCTGATGCCTAAGCTCACAGACTTTGTCTTTTAGGGGGGCTACCTAGTAGTCATGTCCATGCATGATTCCCAAATCATGCAGGACAACGTGACCATCACCCTGCTCTGCAAGGCCAGAAAATTAGGACCCAAACACTCATTCACAATGACGATTTATTTGTACATGTATGTGTCCCATTTCTTTCACAGTAAATGACTAGTTCTTTGGCGTTACTGTGGTGTTCTCAACCAATTTTTTTTTGACTGCTGTATCAGCCTCTAGGGTTCAAACATTTACAGGTATAGCTAAATTCATTGTCAATGACTGTTTACATCAACAGCCTCAGATTTTACTAATGAATTATTGTGGATAACCCCAAATCATGTGACCAGCACAAGTGGCTGAAATTGATTTGTCATTGTTTGTGCAAGACAGAGCAAGGTGAAAGTTGGCAATGCTATGTAGAGTGCTTGAGCTTACAGGATGCTTAGGTAAGCCATTTGAAAAATTTCATGCAAGTTCCTTTCAATTCTATTTCACCACTACTACCACCACCCTCTCAAGCTCAGTGTTTCCTGGCCTCCCTGGCCTTTCCTTGTGGTTCCTCCCTGGCCCTTCGTGGTGGACCCTCCTTCGCCTTTCCTCATGGTTCCTCCCTGGCCCTTCCTCATGGTCCCTCCTTGGCCCTTCCTCATAGTCCCTTCCTTGGCCCTTCCTCGTGGCCCCTCCTCGGCCCTTCCTCATGGTCCCATCCTGGCTCTTCCTTCCCTGTTTCTTTTTCTGTCCTGTAACTACATATGTATTATAATATATATAAAATTGATTTTCTTCATAAAATGAGTGTTAAGGTTGAGAATTATTTGGTGCTGGTGATAAGATGGCAGGTGGTTGCAGGCAATTTGTCATGCTTGCACTTTTGGTAGTTCTGTCCAACTTACTCCAGATAGTATCATTCTGATAGATATTATATAAATTTTAGGGGTAGACAAAGCTTTGTAAACCTTTATATTTTCAAGTCAATTACCTGATGCTTCATAGATGCAAACCTTCCTTCCGTTATGGCATTATTGACTAATCTAGCCCAACTGTTGACTTCTGCCACACCTTCACTTCAACTGCAAGTTTGAGTGAAATCAGGACCTTTTCTCAATCATAAAATTTTGTATGAAAATCAGGGAAGCTTCTTTCCTCGATAAGGCCAAACATAACAATGTGATTGTCAATAGCAGAATTATGTTGGTTCTTGTGATTATGTACTATATATCGTGATATATGGCCTTGTACTTTCTTCACGAGTTCACTGATGACTGTGCCCTCTTGCACACTCTTGCATCATTTTAGCAAGTTTTCCTCTTTCTCTTACCAAGGTCAGTTCAAAATTTCCCTGCCTTCTGCTTACATTTACCTGCTTGCATTCCCTGCACTCAACTCCATCTCACGTCATCTGCATGGTACATTTTTTCTTCTGTCTCTCCCTTTTTATATATCATACATTGTGTGCCTGCTGCTACCTTGTGCATGTAAATTTTCTCATTTCTCCTCATATTCTAACTTTTAGTAGCCCTCTACATCCTCCTGCATCATCTGAAACCATACTCTGCCCTCTCACACAATCTTGCACCCTTCTTGCATTCTCTCGCACCTTCTGTTGACTTCACTTTTTCTCTTGTTTGTCCTCTAGTCTGCCACCTCACCTATCGTGCATCATTGCCTTGTCACCTTTTTTACGTTCAGTACTTGCCCCTCGTATATCTGTATATCAACTTACATTCACACTCGTTGGCTATAGCCTACAGCCTAGTATACTCTAGTAGCTACTGTGGTGCAATTTGATGTGCCCATTATTGTGATCAAATGAGAATGCCACATATAAATTCATTACCCATACAAGAAACCACCAGGAAGCACAAATTGTCACAAGAGTTGTAGCGGCATGTATCAAACATCACCCAAACAGAAGTTAGCTACCGAGATACAAATATAACAAGACTTGCAGGGTATGTATAAAAACAGTCGCATGCACAGACTTGTATTGTAGCTCACAAGTCTGTCACTTGTTGGTAGGCAATGTAGCAATTGTACACCTTGTACTGGCTGTTATGACTTGTTACATGGTTTGCATAATTTTGTTTCTTTTGTCGATGACATCCAGGGTCTAGTTTTGTGCAGGCTGGGTGACCTATCTGGACATCAATGCTCAGCGAGGATTAAATTGGGGAGCCAGGTTGCCATCTGGACATGATGTTCTTGTGTACGCACAATATGGATTTGCAATAGCAGTTAGATATTTCCTTTTTACAGCTGTTTGCAAAAAGGTTGACAGTAGCGACATTTTGAGAAAGAACAAAACAAATAAATAATAGCCACATACATAGGGTCAAATAACACGCGCATATACTTGCAAACGCTTGACGCAATGTATGCCTCCCGTTTCGCGCCAGAGCTTGAGGATCCGCCAGAACGTGCATTCCGAATCTCCGACGCAAGCAAGAGTGTCTTCGAGTGCAAGGTGTTGATGCTTGTGAAGATTAATTGCGGCTAGTCGTGACTGATTTTCCGATACATGATGGTGATGTATGTATGTGGCTATTAATCTATTATTTATTTGTTTTGTTCTTTTCTCAAAATGTCGCTACTGTCAACCTTTTTGCAAACAGCTGTAATTTGTTACTTCAGAATTTCGAGACGGAGAACCAAGAAAACAAGCCCCCTGCAGGCCTGGGTACACGACCGAGTACTGGGCCTACTGGCGGGTAACACGCTTGTACTTTGACACTCAATTCATCTTGTTTATACTGTAGGGCGCCAGAAGTTTCGAGTCCAGCTAAGACAGGATCGGGTACTAGGGGCGTCGTGTTCCGGTTGTATTATCAAAGTGGCGGTACTACCACAAAAAGGGAAAACAACCGAGGAGGATGTGTTGATGGTGCTGCGATTAAAAGGTCTCGGGTACATCTAACGACGACTTGGTGTCACTATCCTGTGATCGGGAGGAAGATTAATAGTGCGAGGTTTCGAAGAGGCCGGATGTTGCGTATCCACTTGAAGGCTATCTTATCATATTGTCAGCGCGATTGAGGAAGGAAATTCGTTATCTGAAACTCGTGGAGACTGGCTTCTTTGAAGCGGTGGAGTTCTATATTCCATGTGTATATACGACCATCATCGCAGGAAATAGCCAGCAAAGTTCGACCGTTCATGATATAACAGGCAGAAAAGCATGCATGTCATCCAATCACTGGCACCAAGCTCCAGGTGTTCCTAGTATAGTATAGGTCTGCAATGTTTTGAAGAGTCCCAGTAACTGAGATATAATAAGTTACAGCCAGCACGGGCGAATACACACTAATATACACTCCAAAAGTAATCTTAAATACCAATTCCACGCTACGAGCAATAACCTAGGTGAAAAAAGCGAGAGAAGAAACAAACTAACAAACATAATAAACCAACGCTAAGGATGATTATCAACAAAGTCTATGGCAGCGTCCAGTCCCCTCACAAGTTTTTCTGCCCGCATCGACATACCCCTCACGATACCAACCTTTTTCTTTCCAGTACTTGAACCTTCTGCGTCTTGTGCGCGATGGAGGTTCTCTGTCGGGGCTGAACGGAGATTGGATCCTGAATGTGCATGTCGGATATGGGTGCCTCGTGATGATGACGATGGCGCTCCCGTACGCGAGCCATTAATAGCAGTTGATGGACGAATGGCGTCTCCCCTTTCCCAGTCTTTCATTAGCCTGGATAAGCTGCCTGGAGTGAGCGTCGAAGATCGTCTCCTTGGAGACGTGTGTGGGGCAGTGCCCACGCTCACGGTGCTAACCGTCGTATTCTTGATCCACCCAGGCACACGTGATTCGAAAGAAGTGCGGGAAAAAGGGTCCGCGCATTGGATGACATTGTTGATCGTGGGGTATGCGGGGGATGAGTGTGGGGGTGAGCCCCAAGAGGATACGTCTGAAAGTGGTGGGGTAGATAGGGGTGAGGGACTTGGTGGTTGGTGCTCGGAATCACTAGGTGAATGAACGATTTTCTGATGATGCATGTGCTGCTTCACGCTTCCTTGCCTTTCCAGGTCCCTCATCCAACCCTCCCACTCCATCTCGCTGTCTCCATCAGTTTCGTCTGATTCTGAGTCCGAGTATGGCGTAAAAGAACTACTGGAAGATTTATGACCCATTCCTTGTGAGAAAGCGAATCGCGGATTGCAGGTGTCGTGCAATGAGGATTCTCGGCGGGCATTTTCGCACCATAAGACGAGTGCGAGGGGTTTTCCGACGTCCCCCATGCCAGCCTTGCGCGCGGTCTCGACGGTTTTCATGCGCCATTCCGGGTATGGAAGAGAATCATATGGAGAAGAGTAAACAAAAGGCGTGAGAGCGGGAGAAGACACATTATTCCAGTAGTTTGCGACTGTGATGATTGATGAGGTGGGGAGGAACGATGATGATATTGGATAAGAGGTGTAGCGGTGAAGGATGCGGAGGATGTTCGAGAAAGCTGTGCGAGCGAACAGTTAGATAAACGGACGGTGTGGATTAAATTGAGTACCATGGTCGTCAAGCAAATCGAGGACGAGCCATTCGCCTTCCCCGCGGCAGATGTCTTCCGGATTATAGTCGGAGGACGGGGAGTTCTTATGGTGGTCGTCTGAAGGTTCTTTTGGGGTTGAAGTGGTTTTGTCCGGTAGAGAGGTGATATCTGTTGCTTCAATTTGCACGTCTGTTTTCCAGTCTTCTACAATCGGAGACGAGGGGAGAGACATGGGCGGTGAAGAGGCAGGGAAGGAGGATGCCAAGAACTCCTTGCCTTGAAACTTGAGACAAACAACGCGTTGTTTTGCAATGATGGAACAAGCTCTTGCAAGAGACTCTGCGCCACGAAGCGCGCGTAATGATGTCAGCGGGAAATGATGCAAAGGAGTCCCACCCTGGTAGCTTGGAGGTGAGCACGCAATGCGGCAATTGTATATTTAAAGGACGCACGGAGGAATCCTTACAAAGAGACAGCGTGCCATGATTTATGACTATCCATCGATCTTTCCATTCAACTTTAGCCTTTCTCCTCTTCTTTTCGGGTTGCAAAGGAGTCTGGATAGTAGATATCTTGTCTCTGCTTCTTGCATTTAACCTATTGCCGGTGGCCGCAGGGGATTCGAATCGGCCCGACTTTATACTCCATACTGCACGGAGGGCCCTAGCTTTAGACTCGAAGTAGGGTTGGACATACTCCGACATAATTTCTCTTGGTAACTGGACGACCTTTCCTGAGCGGTGCATCTCTAGAAGTTCACAAGGCCGAAGGTTATACCACGATAGGGCATAGTCATCTTCTAGAATTGTTCCGGTTGAGAAGGAAATAAGGGTATATTGGTCGGTGACTGGACTACTGCCAGGTTGAATGGTGTGTGAAGCAGATGCGGTTGATGTCTTTCCGGGTCGACGAGAATGTATAGTCTGACGCCTGAGTTCTGGGTGGCGATAGGAAAAGTCATCGAAGTCATCCGAGTCCTCGTCATCCTCGTCATCCTCGTTATAACCGTCGTCCATACTATCGATTGAGGTACGTGTCCTGATGCTGGAAGCAAACGTGATAGGAGAAACTGGGCGCTGAGCGGGGAGATATGGCGTTGGGATGATATTGCATTTGGAAAGTATCCAATGCTTGACCTGTTTGACTTTCTGGTTATCATCCAAGTGGGTTATAAACCACTGGTCATAAGGCACTAGATTATGTAGTTGTGCGGGTGGGTGAGATTTGCAGGAGACACGCTCCATATCAGCAAATATTTCTTACAAAGTTGAAACATTTTGACTACGCACCGAATCTGCATGCTACTGCTAGTAATGGGCGACAGTTTTCTGACTGCATTGCCTACCGCAGTGACCAGTCGATAAATGTTGCCAAGCTAAATGATGTTGGTCACATAGACAAATGGAGACAGCCGTGATGTCACTCTTGGCAGTACTGCAAACCCCATGATCTCCAGTCTTTTTTTTGTAGCAACACCGCTAGGGTTCACAGAGAGCACCGGCTGCAAATTGTAGTATCAGTCAGTATTCACGCTTGAAGATATCATCCGACCCTGGCCGTGTGGACCATCTATTCCGGCAAAGCCGAGACTGCGGCGCTTTGTGTTACTCGAAACGGCTACCACTGGCAGAAGAAGGAATTATCATTATTTGTCTATGGTCCCTCTGGGGTAGACTAAGTGTAACTTATTGCAGTTGAAAATCCATGAATTGAGGATGTCGAGGTAGTGTTGAGCCATTTCTATTAGAATAAACGGACACTGACAGGGCTCTATCATCATCCAGAACGACTCTCCAACTCGGCTGCGAATACTTTTGCTTGCAATTGGCCGAGTTCTGCCTGCAATCGGTCGATTTCTAGTTGACCCTCGGCATAACCTTGAGCATACGCTTCATCGTAAATCTGCAAGAATCATCATTAATAACTAGTATCGTGACTAATTTCAAGTTCTCACCTGCTGTTCTCTCACTGCTCTAGCTTCCTCTGCTTTCCTCTTGAGTTCTTCAACTTCCGCCTCAAAATTGAAATGCGCCTCCTCGATCCAATGTTCTGTTTTCTGGCTTGTCAAGGCTCTGGAGAAGACTCTTGCTTCACTGCCCTCTGCTACCTCTGTCGGACAGCCCAATCTTGAGGAAGTTTGGCAGGAGAGTGCAGGGTTTTCTCTACATGGTAAGTATACTGTTAGTAATCTTTTTGTCTTGCAAGACTGACATCTCCGCTCTTCTGGCAAGGATTTGCTTTATTTCATTGTCTCTATTTCATGTTGAATCCGCCTGAGACTCAGTTCATCGAAAATGTTTCCTTATCATATGCATGCTCGCTGCAGGGACTATTATGCCAGGTGTCGTTCTGGCGATCCGACACGGTGATCGAGTTGCATGAAACGATCAACCAGGAGGTGGGGGATTTTCCTGGCGGAGCCACTGTATTGCACTGTCACTGACCCAAACAATTCGCCCAGATGCAAAATCCGTTCCATTACTCGCGTCGAGAAGTGCTGACTCGTGTCACTCGTTCGCATGACTAACCTTGCTGCTGTCTGCTCTATAGGGTGTCTCGCAGGTGGTAAGCGAACCTTTTCGGTTTGGATCCAAAGTTTGCGCTGACATTTGATTTTTTTATCAGGTTTTATTTCGATTATTTTAGGAGGTAATTTATTTATCTCTCTTGCCGCAGCAGCTATGGTCGCCCTGCTCTTAGATGCAATGATCTGGATGGACAATCTAGTGATCTTATTGATACTTCCATTCGCTTTTATTCTGTATCTCGGCCTCGGAATGCGTTGCATCAGCATGAAACAATGGCAGTAGTCATTTGTGGGGTTCATTTTTGCAGATTGTATGGTTGCCCATATGCCACGTATCACGATGTGTCCCCGTACGTGCTTTCTTTTACATACATATTCACTTATCGATACAATTTTCATCTACGTTCACCTTTCGTTCACCATCTCAACAATTCTTCAATAACCTTCTTCGTACGATATTGGTTTCCCTCAGTCTTTCTAACGAAGACTGAGATATTCTTTCTTCAAGTTCGTCTTCTAGTCCGAACCTCTTCACCTTGTGAGATGTAATATTTCAGACTCGAACTGACGTCAATTAGTCGTTCCCATACTTTCAGAGGACGGTAACGAGACGTCATATTTTGGAATAACATCATGCTCACCTTGCTTTGGCCTGCATGTATGCCGGATCACAGAAGGCCAGCTGACGCACGTTGTTGATTTGCACTGGGCATGCCCTCCTCCTTCCGGTGTCTGAGGACAGCTAGTTTCAGTGATCCGAATCTTCTCGTAGTCATCTTACGATTCAACATTCAATAATGAGGTCGTATTCTAGTTCTAATTTGACGTTTTCGTCATTTGAGCGAAACTTCGAACGGTCCTTCTGCAGGGGTGGAACTACTTTGTCTGTCTTGCGGTGGTTATCAGGGACACTATGTATCATTGATCGAGGATATATATGATGTTCAAACGACAAACGTTCCCTCTCAGTTCATTATGCAGACAGGCTATCATAGTCTACCAGTGTGTCGAGAACTGAGTCTTGGTGAATTAATTTGCAAAGTGCAGCTTCCTAATAAGGAAACTCCTGGAAGCCTTTGGACAACAGACCAAAACAACGCGTACGCTCGTCTCATGCACTGGTCTGGCACAACTAATTGCTAAGGCAGCTTCTGGTATCAACACGACACGTTCAGCTTCATGCCTCTTACAGAATCGCGAGAAAAAGTCGTACGTGTTGATATGCCTATCCCAGGCTGATTAAATATGTGATGTATCTTCAAGTTGGTATTTCTGATTCAAAATGCAACTGTTGACGTCTAGTCCAGAGAATTCTACCCACATATCATTATAGCGAGGATATAACGGGCTACGTTCTCTCTGTTACATCGCCAGTTAGCTCGTAATATCTTCATGTAAACGGTAATGCCAAACCATGGTTTCCATTTGAAATAGTATTGCATTGAGTGGCTAGATGATATAAAGTCCTCCAACTCCCACTGTCCACGTCAAATGTAAGGACTGGGCTGGGTCATGACGAAATTAACAGCGAAGGTAAGTGTCTTTGCACGTTTATGACTAAACGTGCGACTGACACTGCATATATCAAAGTTTTAGGCCTGTGACGCTACGTGCCTTCACATCTGCTGTTTCTCTACCGCGCAACATTGGGCTGTATATATAAACTGCCCGCTTTTGCTGGAAGCTACTTGCTGCTGTCCCAAGCGGGTACCGCTGCCAAAGCTTACGGTTGTGGTTGAGTGTGCTGTGACCATGCTCCACGAAAATGCCATTGCTACGATACTTCGAACCTCAATAGATTGTACTGTTGCACACACATGTAATGTCTTACCCTCTAGTAAAGAAGTGCCAGTACTCACTTTACCGTCTTACATACGTCTAGGTCTACAAAGGATGAGCGACGTACTGTGGAAGGTTTGTGCTCTTGTGGATTAATCCACGCATGGCGCTTCAAAGCGGTGAATTTTACACGGAAATAACGGAGACCACAGATGTGTTTTCTATGGTGAAGTAACCACACGCTTTCCTTTGTATGATATGTTGTCGGGGCACAATGCGCATCCACAGACGCTTTATCTAGCGCTTTTCCACATGTTGTGAGGTTAAAAGGCTGGCGTTGTTCCCTCCCTCACTTCCCTATCTCTCGTCCTCTTCACATTGGCACTTCATCTTGTCATCTTAACCACCTCGTATCACTCATTCAAATCATCGATATGTCTATGTAAGTCTACTTACATCTTGACTCGGGATCTTCATCTGATGATGCCTTGTGCATTTAGTGCCTCATACAACAGTCTTCAAATGTTATTGGATAGGTTGGTGTTCAATCTCGAGTAGGATGACATGGTTCACCTCATAATTTTCTTAGCGAGTCTATCCTTCCATGGCCTCAACCTGACATCCACCCCGAAGCCACCGCTGACATGGTCTCGGAAGGCGTCCGAAAATTTGCTCATCCCGACGATGTGGCCGCCATGCAGGCTGAGTACGTGGTTCTGTCTTATTCAAAACATCGAGTCAAACTGACGGCCTTTGGCAGATGGGCTCAGGTCTGCGCAGAAGATGAATTCCTAAAGGCGCAACAAGGGTACGCGCCACCCCAACCGAGTACCTGCCATGGCTCATTTATTTTTTTAGGTCTTCGGCGTCTTTCCAGAACGTTCAAGATAATCAGGCGTTGTTTCCAACATTGAACCAATTTACCGCTCCGGTGGCTGGTCTCCCCCAGTTTCCCCCAATGGACCAGAGCCAATATTATATTCCGCAGCCCCCTGCCGTCCCTCGAGCGCCGCTGGAAGGCGCCACATGGTCCCAGCCTGAACACGATGGTGGTTCGTATGCGAATGGACCTAATTTCGCTCAAAATTATTTCCGCCCCGTCGTTGACCTGGAGCTTTGGGCAGCAGGGGATCCCCGCGCGTATGACCCCAAACCACCATTCTCCCAAGGACAAAACGCGCAATTCCAGACGGGTACCCCCTCAGTAACAGAACATGCAGGCTATGCGTACCCCGGTGCCATCACAGATACGATGACGAATGCCGACATCTTATTGCCGCCCGCATCAGACCCTGAAGTGACAATGTATCTGAGTCATGACAACAGCTTGGAGCCATCTTCTTCTGCCCCCGATGGGACAGCGTGTGCCAAGCCTCCCAAGCGTAAAACTCGCCATACCGTTAAATCTGAGGATGGCAGTTTGGGTTCGTCTCTGGCGCCAACCACGCGCAAGCGCAGATGCTTGGACGACGACGAGGACGAAGTCAGAGAGGGGAAGTTTGGTGCTTACAGACTAGCGGACGCCAGTGCCGTCGTCATGGCTGTGCCCGTTCACGACCCGAAGCCGGTAGACGTCAGCAGCCGCAGGACTCATGATGCTGGCGGCAATCTTCTTCGAACGAGGAGATTCGGGGCGATGGAACTCGATGATTCCTACTCCAAACGGTCCGTCAAGATTACGAATGAACTACCCCCAAAGATGACTTGCGTACGAGCATGCGATTGGACGGACCAGCCCTGCGGGCTGTTTGTAGAAATGAACAAAGCCCGCGTCGCACATCACCTGTTGCATTGGCATGGTGTTAAATCTACAGACACGGCTGCCTGCAAATTCGAGGGTTGCTCGAAGTCAGAGGCAATGATCAATTTGGGCCGTCACATTGAGGGCGTCCACTATACTACGTCCTACGAATGCCCCTATTGCGGCAAGCGGTGGTCAAGATCCGATTCTTTGGATCGGCATCAGCAGAAATGCAAACCACTCCTTGATAGTAAGGACCGCGCTACGAAGGGATGTCGCAAGTTCAATCTCCAAGACCCGAAGAAGTTGGTCTATGGGTATATCGTTCCTGCCCGCAACGCGACATAGTCCAGCGTACGACTGTACGTCCCCTTGACCTGTATCTGTCACTATTGCTAATTTCCTGTTGCCGTGCTCTAGTACTTTCTCCGATTCTTCACGAATCTCTTCTCCTTCTATAACTCCGTCACTCGTTTCATTCTATCGTACATATATTTGACCAAATCACTTCATCTCATCGACATTCTTTTTGCGTTGAATATTCCCTCTTCTCAGTGTATTTTCCTCTCCTCATCATCGCTTGGTGTATCTTGTATATGTTTATTGGATAACCCTTATTGCACGCTGGACGTAGCTATCGTATCTCATTATGTCGCTCGGTACATATTATGTATGCTTGCTGGATGGAAGTTGGATGATGGAGCCTGGCGCTGCGCATCGCACTTCTTATGGATCAAGAATGAATATGATATATTGTGTTGCATTTGTGTCTTCCCTGACACCGCTCATGGTGTGACAGCTTTCATACTTCCCCATCCCATCAAATATCACCCTGAGCGATTCTTGGACCCTTGCGCTTGATCAGTTTCTACTTAATACTCACGCCAGTTTAACCTTCAGTCCCGCGACCTCCCATAATCCTGTGGCTGCGCTTGACATCCGCCTTAAGCACCGATGCCAATGACTAAGACCTTGACGATACAATCATGGTTCACAGGAAAGTACTGGCCTGGCATACAGCCGGTCACTCAGATCAATCCTCGATATTGAATAGCCTTGGGACTCGACTACCGCTTCGAGCACCAACTGAGGTCTATGAGTAAGTATTTACTGAGCCGATCCCATCCATCGTTGGTACGAGATCATATCCTCCCACTTGACTTCGCGTTATGATTGCATCTCTGTCTTGTGCTCTGCCCACACAGAACCCCTCTGGTTCTCCTTGATGTATGCATAAACCTGTGACCAATCTCGACATATATGAGTCACACCCAAACCGTCTGAGCCTGCCATCGATCCATTGATGTAGACTGGATCAAGGGTAGTATCAGAATTGCAAAGAATGGCCTGTCGCAAGAAGTTAAGGCAGTGGCCACTATGGTCATTGGGCCCGTTAATAAGGGCTAGCCGGATCATTTGTAGACAATGAATCTGGTGAAACATCGAGACACCAAACAGTCGTCCTAATAGAATATGGGAACGGCAAGCGTCTGACTCATGTATTGACGAAAACAGGGTGAATGATTGCTTACCATTTGGTCCCAGACGCACGAATCCGTGACCTTCTGGAAAATGATCGAGCAAATTCCACTCCGACCAGGCTGTGAGCCCTGACGTACTGTAATACTTTGAGTCTTCAAACGTCAATGCGACGATTTCCAAGTCGAGGGGTAATTCAATCGGATGATCATCGCCGATGTAAGCTGTATCAAATATGCTGAGTGAGATGAACTCCTGTGGCTGTTCGTAAAGGGGACCTTGACATACTGTACTGTCTATCATCGACAGACTTGTGTTGCAAGCGCAGAATGGTGAAGATGTTCAAAATGATGCTAATGACGAAAACACTAGGCCCAAATACGCGCAGTATGTCTGAGAGTCGAAGTTTGAAGCTGTGAAGCATTGAGTCTGTCGCTGAACGTGTTCTGAGAGAAAAGTTCGGGTCATTGAATATACATATGCTGCAGAAGACAGCTATTAGTTACATGCTCAACTTACCAGAAACCACTAGTATTGAGAACTATAGCTTGAGCCGTTGCTGGCAGGCGCGAAAAATAACGTGTCACAAGTCGGGTTGCTTTCCTTTATGGTGCGCGTCAGCAGAACCCCTCTGTGTGAGTTGTACTTGGTTGAACAAACTGCCGGACCTTCGACAACACCGATCTATTGCCTCGAGTCCTGAACAAAGCTTCCATCTACCTGTGCGTCCGATGCTCGCATGATTGAACGAAATAGATGCTGGTGATAAATGATATCAAGTATGTCCAGGGCCACTACAGGGTCACGACAGCGGAGTCACGCCTACTTCACGGGTGATTGAACTAGTGTTGATGGCAGAACTCGTAAATTCTGCTTACAGCCGTCGATTGCATAGAGTACTTGATAGTTCTGCCGTCAGTCCCCCTATTCCGAATCAGAGTGTCAGTTAAACATACCAACCCTCCCAAGCGGTTACGTCTACTTTTCAGAGAGCTTCTTCGTTACGTAGTACTTCCTCACAAAAACTGTTGAGAAAACTTCGAAATGGTCAAGTAATTTGCAAGAATTTCAAATTGGTACACAATGTCAGTTATTTGGCCTCAGGGATCTCGCGTGACTACTAGTACAAACAACACGTTGACACAAGGTCGGGTTGAGCTTGTAGCTGTCTTGCAGCACGACAGATCCAATGAGTTGAAATCTTGCTATTACCGAATGTATTCTATTGTATGGTCAGGAAATGAAGACAGATCTGAAGGTGAATAGTACTTACCTCCTTGTCCCGCTTCCCGAGCAAAATAAGCCTGTTCTCGTTTTTCTTGACCTATGACAGCAATGTCCATATCACATCCGCGGACCAGTGGATTCGGACATCGAGAATGGGAGGGGGCGGCGGATCCTTCGTTCTCATGGTATTGACGAGACTCAGATGATCATTAACCTACTGACAGAGGGGCACTTGCTGGCATTTGAGAGCACTGTGTTGACGTGGCTCACGTATTTCGGTTTGTTTATACCTGCGTACAGATTCAAGCTCAAGTCTTGGGCATCTAGCACTGATAGTGTAAGCATATGCACGGACAAGCATAAACCATGCATAAGCGCTTAGATTCCCGGGTGTGAGCTCCCCTAGAAATTAAATGTTAAGCCTCAACACAACTCGCTATTCTATATCCATTAGGCCGAAAGCTACGCAAGAGATCAGTCTGGCACTTCAAACCTGTGTTCAATACAGCCGCACTCACAAAGCGGATGAACTAAGAATGATTGCTCGAATTCAAGTTTACAACCATCGCAGGTAACCTCGATGCTAACGGCCGCTTTTTCCGAGTCGCCACACGAGAATCGTGTTGGTATCTTCAACTGCCAGCTATCTTCGAGATGTAGCTGCTCGATCTTCTCTTTATCAAGAAGGAATGCGAGTCCGACAGTGCAATTTGTTGGGGTCTTGTGTTCCAGCTGAGGCTCATCATGCCCTCAGCAAAAGTTGTAAAATTCTAAATTTGGATTTTGGCGAGGGAGCCAGATGAGGTATAGGACTTGTTGGCCGCAAGATCCTCTTCGGGAGAGAAAACGACGCTGTCGGTGTAGCAAGAGCTGGATTTGAACGGGCCGGGGTGGCATGCCACTGGTGGAACATCGAGTCCTGGAACAATACAAATGACCTTGGTAAGTCACTTCAGGTCACGGAGATTCACTTACGCTGTAGCTGAGTATGACGTACGGATTTTTTATTAGGTAAGGCTTTGTTTACTGTATTATGGCACTTGGAAAGTACATCTAATTGGTGCTGCTTACACCTGTGAGGTCTGTTCATGACAGTGTGAATCACTGAATCTGTACACCCTTTTGCTGTTGCCGAAGGTCGCTAACCAATTCCAGACCTGGGCACTGGTTTGGCTAACGTTGAACTCATGGGCATTATGCCACCCGCAAACATAGGCAGAGGCAATGGCGTACAATGCATATGCACAAAGGACAGTGTCCCAGTGCGGCCCAAGCTAGTCATTTAGACGGGAGGTCTGCGGTGCGGTGCTCGGAGATGATGTGTTTGCTGGGGAGGAGAATAGCGTCTTTAGAGCTTTCATGTTGATGCTCTAGATCGTGTATTCGGAGAGGCGAATACGATGCCATGAAGGTGCGTGACGTAACCGAGAAATCATCTCCTCTAACTAGCTTGTCAGCAGTACCTACTGGTGATTTGCCAGGTTGCTTGGTTCAAGTGTTCTAGGGCACGAAACAACGAGGACTCTGAGTTGATTCAACAACTGTATTCATTCAAGGTCGAATTTCTCTATCGTCTGATTGAACTTCGATTCACACACCAAGAGCACGTCCCGTATGGTCTGCGCCTACTAAATTCCTCGCAGCGATGTGTCCCTGTGTGGTTCTTTTAATCAATTCAGGGACAAAATTGTTGTACAGGACCTCCGAGTCACATCTCCACTCTCACTATGAATCTTGCCACACCCTTCTGTGTCAGCCAAATAATCAAGACGCAAAATGAAACAATACGGCCTCCCTGACGGCAGAATTCTTTGCCTCGTCGTGGTGCACTGATCGAGCAAGTTGCTGATGGAAGAAAGCTTGGCCTTTTCCTAAGCAGATAACATGTACACCGAAACGATCACAGGATGAAGGTTTCTGCGAGTTAATCTGCAAGATAATCGAGCTACCCAAAGCTATAAAGGCCTCACTCCTTGCATCAATTATACACTCAATACCCTCTAACAATTACTGCTACTTGTATATAACCGCCATGAAGCTCACTTTGTCTTTTATTTTTGTCGCCATCGCTTTGCTACAGATGACGACAGCATCTCCCGTCGCCAAAGGTGATTCTTCAGTGCTAGCCTCATTTTGTCGTGGACTATTTACCTGGTTCATAACATAGACGTACAAGGGCACGGCCGAAAGAATATCGCGTATATGTTCCAACGTGTTCATCCTATCTGCATCATGTCTAACAAGACCATTCAGATTCAGTTGCCGAGGACCTCTCTGATGTTGAAGGTGATTCTTCAGTGCTAGCCCCACTTCACGCGGACTATTGACCTCGTTGAGTGATATAGAGGTCAAGAGGCGCGACCAAAAGAAGTTCGCGTGTATGTTCCAACCTGTTTATCTTATCTGCACCGATGTCTAACAGGACCGTTCAGATCTTGTTTCCAGGGGGGCCTCTGATGCTGACGGTGATTCTTCAGTGCTAGCTTCACTTTGTCGTGGACTACTCACTTTGTTCATGACATAGATGTACAGGGACACGGTCGAAAGAATATCGCGTGTATGTTCCAGTGTGCTTATTCTATCTGTATCATATCTAACAGGACCATTCAGATTCTGTTGCCGAGGACCTCTCTGATGCCGAAGGTGATTTTCCAGTGTTAGCCTCATTGTCATGCGGACTACTCACCCGGCTGATAACGTAGATGTCGAGAAGCGCGTCGAGAAGACATTAGCATGTAGGTCTCAGCGTGTTTGCATTATTTGCATCTTGTCTAACGAGATGCGCATTGTGGCATAGCCATTGTTTCCGAGGAATCCCGTGATGTCCAAGGTAATTGTCTATGGCTTGGTTTTGAATGTTATATTTACGTTGTTCAATGTCCAGGTGTTGTTGAAGGTATGTCTTGAGCATCATCTTGGAGTCTCGACTCGTTTTAAACCATTACCACTGCTACAGCTTAAGGCTAGAAGCTCAAGGTTATCTGTCTGGGACAGCGAGTGCAACCTTATGGTGCAAATTAGTTCAGTAACAGAGTATTACTATCGCACAATCATCTGATCGCAAGAACCAAATTTCATTGATCCCTAACTTTCGCCAAGTGTCGAGCACCGCACCCATCCGCCACTTCTGGGCTGTGATCTACAAAAGCTAATTCTAAGGTGTTTATGCGCCAAACAATTCTCGGGCAGCGTCGTGTCCTCTCTTTTGGAGAACAATCGCAGCTTATGTCCAGTTGACAGGCTACGAGAAAGTGAATGGTAGATCGTAAGATCTGACAGCCTCAGCTTCGGGGTTGATCGTCTATGGGTGTGAATATGAAAGGTGCTGGAGATTATGCAGCTTCCGTGCACGACTCACCCGTCAGCTTGCCACCTAGCCAAATCTTAGACGCAGGAATTTTATGTCTCCCTCAAATTTTGAGATACGGGATTGGTCTGATAGATCAACTCTTACACTTATTCAGAGTACCTGTTTCTGTAAGAAGAATAAAGATGTGAAGCATGTCTGCTTGTGTAATGAACTTCGTACAAAAGTAGTGGTGACTTGACGCGCACCATAGTTGTCAGTTGCACTGCTATATATGGTCAAGTCGGAGGGCATTCGAAAGATATCATAGGGGATATTTGTACAATCTCAAGGTCTTTAGGTATTACATCTGTTTCATCTTCTTCATCACGGAACACAAGCATCTGCACTCTGATATCAAACTTTCACTCGAGGGCTACCGCACGAATTCCTCATTTCCTTTCCTTGAATTTCCTGGGCTTGGACGTGGTAGGTGCAAGAGGACCTCCCGCATGCCACGTCAGCAAGCGAGCTCAACGATTGATCTTTTCACAGGGGTAATCCCAGCGAAGAGGCATCTTTATCTAGCACCGCCTGCTGCAGCTGCATGATTCTTTGGCGTCCAGTTACTGGGGCCGGCGCTGGCGGCTGCACAGCTTCGGAGCCTGGTAGTGGCCTGTAACGGCCGACAGTCAAACGACGGCGTAAGGGTGGTTGGCCTGGAACCCTCTTTTGGCACTGGTCAGTCTGATCAAAGCCTGATCGTTAGGGAGACTTACCTCCATGATATAACGACAGATGTCATAATAACCGTCTCTATCCTTCTCTTTCCACGCCTTCGAGGACAAAATATCAGTGCTCACGGATGTAGGTAGATAAGTAAAACAATGTTACACGTTTACAGATATACAAGCCATCATACCGGAAGCCTTCCCATGGGGCAAATTCAGAATCAAGCTCATGGCCCCGAATAACGCGCACGGGTTTGCCTGTTTCAGAAGATTTCTGTTGTACTGTCATTTCCTGACCTCACATTTATCCGAGATAGAGAACCCACACGAAGCGCCTGATTTCCAAAATCCGACCATTGCTGGTCATGATCCAGCTCGCGCGTCTTGGGAATTTTAATCGGTAATCAAGCTATAAAACATAAGGACAACTTACACGATCACCGAGCTTGCGACCCCCTGGCGATACTAAGTTGGCATATAATTTTGTAGCTCGGGTTGTGAATACACACCTGAACCTGTATATACGCTATATGCACAGGTCAGATTGCCAATCCGGCTCGAGAAATAAGCGCCGTTAGATGCTTACATCTTATCCCCGTCATCCTTGTCATCTTTATATTGGCCAGATACGACGATTGAGAAGGCGCCATCTGCCTCAGTGCCGCTTATACCAGCTTCGATTTGGCGATGCACACCGGCATCAAAACATTCTTTGCTGTGAACAGATAGACAGATGAGGTAACTGGTATTATCAAATGAGAATCAAGACTGCGCACCGACTCTTCCATGTCGTCCCAACAGATGCTCCTGGAATTTCCCCGAAGCGCTGCCTGCAAACAATGTGCGTGAACAATGTGGTTGAGGGAGGAACATCGAGAGACTTACGCAGGCCTCTCCATTTTGCTAGACATTTCTTTTGAATCGGCAATCTTCTCGTCCGAGACACTGTGGTGTCTTTGCCTCCGAGTCGTTCTGAGTGCGAACGTTGTTTATTGTATTGTTGGCGATTGTCAGGACGATGGAAATAAGTAGGTCACTGTTTGCGTCGGAGTTCGAAAGTTGGAATCTTCGAAAGGGCTGCATATAAATGCATCCGAAATGCAGTGAATAAAACCCCTGTCCAGTATCGACGTACCTTCTGTCTTCATAGAGTCACATGATACGAGGATAATCAGAATCGTATATTCATTCTGATGAATATAGGCGACATCTGCATTGTAGGACGCGAGCGCAGACGAGCTGTAATCGAAAATACGACCTTCAGCAGTTGCGCTTTCCGACTGAGGCTCAATGAATGGCAGGCCTATCTGCAAGACATCAACTCCCAGCGATCCGGGTTGTTTGGAGGCTACGACGGCTATCCACCGCCAAAGCAACCCGCAAATTTCACGCATAGTGATGCTATTCCAAAGTCTGTGAAGGAAGATGCAATATTATTGTGACGGATATCAATGATTGGGAAAGTTTCCTGTGGTGAGTCTAAGCATGGTCAAATGTACATCTTACACACCAGATGGGAATTGAGTATGGACGAGTCGGAGATGACGGGCGCGTTCGAGGAGTAGTTGACTGAGGAGAAGTAGATGTACGATTTAAGGCGAAATTTGGCATATAATATCATTGGGCAGGCAGTAAAAACGGAGGTCAATTTTGACGGAATGCGAGAAATGATGCTAGGGCGCTTTAGCTGCCACACGGCCTATACCAGCGGTTGTGAAGAACACTGACTTGACCTAAACGCTCATTGTGCCTTGGAGTCAACGATATTGTAGCAAGTGATGGTCTTGGACTTTGTTGGATGAAAGCTGAAACGGAGCTGCACCTCATAGTTGAGTATAGCTTCACCCGTCGTAGTGAAGCAAGAGAGCATCGGCGATAACTCTCAGCCAGAAATTTGAAGGACACACCAATATAGTTTTTGGCACCATACATCTGCCAGGTGGAGAGAGGATGTTGACTTGTCCAACGGACGTCTCGCTGCGGATATTGGAATGAAAGAGTGGGAAATAGATACGAGAGGACTGGCGGGACGGAGGCAGTGAAGTGCAGACCTGGATAACATTGTCTCCGGACAGGAAGAAAGTGATTATCAAAAGTGAGGTTGTGGGACGCCGACACAGGCAAAAGTTATCGCAAAATGGAATATGGGGCATACAGAGTACTGACCAGTGGGTTCAGTCTACTGGAATCAAGATGGTCGGCCAATGCCCACTGGCGAGCGTGTCCTCCGACGGGACTGCGGCAAGGCAGTGGGACGTGGAGACCGAAGAGATAATCCTCGCACCAATCAAGATAGGATATCATGTGCAGTATTCCGTTGTCTACTCGCCAGATGCGACCATGATCGCGAGTGGATACAAGGACTCGGACTCGACCGCTGAAGTCACCGTGATTTCAGATGGAAAAGCGCTTATTTCCGGGTCAAATTTATATTGATGCTGACCCGATTAGAACTTATAATACTACATGTACAGCGTGGAACAACCTGGCACAGTACTTGTTAGAATACACCGGCGACATCTATGTTGACATTATGTATTTGCAATATCTTCGAATGGCCGCATCCTCGAAAATATATCGAATAGCAACACAGCACGATTATGGCACCTCGACAACAGCCAGCCCATCAGTTCACCACTAGTCAGTGAACTGTGTCATTTTCAGCGGGTGGAAGGCTGTTAGCTACTGGCTGATTTGATACACATAGTATGCATGGGACATTTCTGCGATACTACTAAGAGAAGATTCATTGGCCTCGACGACCTTTTGGACCAGCGCGACAAGTCAGTACGCGCTGTACGTGGCACTTTCAGTTCTCATTGCACTCAAGCTTATGCAATGACATGCATTCTAGGCTGATGCTACACGACATCCTGTCTGTCAGTGCTTCAGCCACTCAAGGTTTCCCATTGTATACCCCGAGGTCTCTTTGACGTCCCACGGCCGCCCAACAAATTGTGCTTACATACGTCGTTAATATCTCTTCTGGCACTGTTTTTATCGCCTCAATCGTCTCAGTTGTCTGCACGACACCGCCCTCATTTTCTCTCGTTGATTTCCGGCGAGCTTGCGCTTGCGCGTGGTAGACACAGGAAGACTGGACAGCATGCTTGTGCAAGCGGGCCCAGCGTTCAGCCTTTTTACAGGGGGCGGGGGGCTTTCTAGTAGAAACGCATCCATGTTGTTTATCCGCGCCTGCTCCCGTTGCATGATTCTTTGGCGTCCAGTTACTGGAGCTGGAGTTGGCGGCTGCACGGCTTCGGAGCCCGGTAATGGCCTGTAAAGGCCGACAGTCGTTGAACGACGGCGTAAGTGTGGTTGGCCCGGAACCCTCTTTTAATACTGGTCAGTCTGGTCAAAGCCTGATCATTTAGAGACTTACCTCCATGATATAACGACAGATGTCATAATAACCGTCTCTATCCTTCTCTTTCCACGCCTTTGAAGACAAGGTATCAGTGCTCACGGATGTAGGTAGATATGCAAAACAATATTACAGCTTGACAGATGTACAGGCCATCATATCGGAAGCCTTCCCATGGGGCAAATTCAGAATCAAGTTCATGGCCCCGAATGACACGTACGGGTTTGCCTGTTTCAGAAGATTTCTGTTGTTCTGTCATTTCCTAACTTCACATTTATCCGAGATAGAGAACTCACACGAAGCGCCTGATTTCCAAAATCCGACCATTGCTGGTCATGATACAGCTCGCGCGTCTTAGGAATTCTAATCAGTAATCAAGCTATGAAGCACAAGGGCAACTTACGCGATCACCGAGCTTGCGACCCCCTGGCGATACTAAGTTGGCATGCGATCTTGTAGCCCGGGTTGTGAATACACACCTGAACCTGTATATAAGCTATATGCACAGGTCAGATTACCAATCCGACTCGAAATATGCGCTGTGAGATGCTTACATCGTGTCCCCGTTATCCTTGTCATCTTTGTATTGACCCGAGACGACAATTGAGAAGGCGCCATCTGCCTCAGTGCCGCTTATACCAGCTTCAATGTTGTGATGCACGCCAGCATTAAAACATTCTGTGCTGTTGACAGACAGACAAATGAAGTAACTGATGTTATTAAACGAAATTAAGAGTACGCACCGATTCTTCCATGTTGTCCCGAAAGGCGCCCCGGGGTATTCCCCGAAGTGGTGTCTGCAAAGACAGTACGTAAACAGTGTGGTTGAGGGAGAGACATTAGAGAGCATTACTAACACCGGCCTGGTAGGACTTTCGCTGCCCTTCCTGCACCTTTCGCTGGATGTTTCTTTTGAATCTTCTTTCATCTTCTCGTCCCAGACACTGTTTGATATCTTCACCTCTGATCCGTTCTTGAGCATTATGTTGTCAGTGACTGTCAAGGTGATGGAGATAAGTACACGAGGCCGATAATGAGGCTCTTATACATAGACTGCTGCTGAGTCGGAGTTCGAAAGCCGTAGTTGCCTATAAGGACCGGACCTGAGGCTACTTCAACGACGAATAGTCGATGCGGATCCATGATGGGTCGATAGCGCAGACATCGACTTGATTTACTCCCGCGGGACAAAGTTGTACACTTGGATCATCAAGCAGTTCTGCGTGAATTTCTAAATTGTGCAAGCATGGGGGCTACAGAAACTGGTTTAACAATGTACTGTTCGTAGACAGACCTAGCAGAGTAGTATCAGTAGACGGACATTGCAAATGATTTTCAAAGCAAGAAAACAGAAAAACTGGGTGCTGTACATCCTTGACTGGTCCTATCAGAAGGGCGAAGTTGATGAGAAAAATGAATTCGAGGTCTTGAAAGCAAGAAAGCAGAGGAGTCGGGATGTAGTGGATATTTGACAGCCGCAACTGACTCGCTCAGAAGGGCGAGGGGGGCAAGAAAGATGAAAATGAGGAAGCCGTGGTTTCGAGGTCTTCAAGTAGTATATCTTCCTCGTCTTCGTCATCAAGTGACAAATCAACATCTTCGTTATGCTCATCGTAAGAGATTCTCCACATGGGCCTCGCTAGGAAGTGATTGAACTGGGATTGACTAGACCACATGCTGGGTTTTATAAGGGTGGCAGGTGTCATCATGGAAGAGCTCGTTTCAGGGAAGTGTTGCTGTTTCTCTTTCTGCATCTCTTTCTGCACCCGCTGATTGTGCTTTTGCAGCGGGGTTTCAATAGTCCCCAGGACCGGCACTAGAACTTGTGGCTGCACGGTGGGTGATGAAGACGACGACGGTTGAGGCGGCACTCGGTCGGCGAGTTTGCGCTTCTTAGACGCCGGATCGGGACAAATTGTGGGTGCAAATGGTTGAGCCTTGCGCTTACGGCTGATCAACGTATGCGAGGGCGAGACAACAGTGTCTGACGTAGCTACAGAGGCGGGCGATGGCTCATGGTTGGTATCTCCAAGCGAGCGACGGAGCAGGGGAGGTTGACCTGGAACCCTCTGTTGACACGTTATCAGTCTAATCAGAGTCCCGTGCTTTAAAATGAAACTCACCTCTAACCTGTAGCGGCAGATATCCAGACCTTTGGAATTTTTCTCTTTCCATGCCTTTGAAGGTTGAGTATCAGAGTTGGGATGTAGACATGGGAAATAACGTTACGGTTTCAACAGTGTACAAACCATCATACCGATAGCCTTTGGCAGGCGCAAAATCGGAAAGCACTTTGTGGCTCCGGATGACGCGCACGGGGTTGCCTGTGTCACGCGATGTCTGTTCTGCAGTCATTTGGGGACCTCAGGTTCAAAGACAGAAAAACTCACGACAAGTGCTTCATTTCCTTGGTCCGACCACTGCTGATCAAAAACCTGCGGACCTAACCGGAGCTTTTGGATTATAAATGAATAGTCATGCTATATGAGCAAGAGACAAACTTACACGCTTCGGAGGACAGCCATCAGACCACCGCTTGCGACCCCCTGATGCTACCACGTTGGCATACAATAGTGTAGCCCTGGTTGTAAATACACACCTGTACCTGTGTAGTAGCTATATACACGTAAGGATCAGAATATAGCAATCGCATTCCGAAACGAAACGTTGTGCTAGATGCTTACATCGTATCGCCGAGATCCTTGTCATCTTTGTAGTGACACGAAACAACAATTGAGAAGGCGCCAGTTTTTTCAGTGCCATGTATACCAGCCATAAGAGGGCGGTGCACGCTAGCACGAGAACAACCTTGGCTGCGAAACAAATCGACTAACTGATGGGCTAAGTATCAAACGAAAATGAAATACACACCGATCCTCCCATTTAGCCCCAATCGGGACTCCGGGAATCCCCCCGAAGTGCTGCCTATAAAAAACAGTGAGCGCTGAAGCTGAGGGAGAAACGCTACTGACGCCAGGCGACGGGCAGCCAACTTGGTAGCCCTGGCGTTCGCTGAGCCCTTGTCCGCTGAAACTTTGCTGGCTATGATTTCTTCTCGATCACCATCCATCTCCCCATCTGTGTGGATAGCTTCGACTTGTTCTGGCAGTCCGTCATCGTGATCCATCCTGTGTAGCCGCTGTGGCGTTCAACGTTCGACGTAACGGTGACTGCCAGTACTAGTAATGCATGATGCATGAGGCATCAGTAGGACTGCTTCGGAGTTCGAAAGACGTGATCTTCGAAAGGCCAGACCTCGGGCACGACGCCTCTTCTACTACTGCTACATAGGGTTGATTCCACCGACGACTGGACAAGGCGGCCGCTGCCTGCGACGAGACTGCGACGAGACTGGGCCTCTTGACTGTGGAGGATGATACGTGAGCATGACATGTCGACAACGACACATTTACAATTGTATCACGACGACAGCCTGTGTGTGTGACAGCCCGACGGATCTGATGCTGCCGTGGAACTTCGTGTGCGTGAGGTTGCACGCCTGAAATTTCATCTCATCTTCTCCCATGCAAGCTCATGCATCCGATTTTGAATCCTATCCTGTAGTCGTTCTTTGTAGGCATTGGACGGCGTTATCTTTTGACGATTCTAGGCCATCTGATGAGCATTGGGCACGTTGTACAGAGCGTGATTGGCATTTGCAATGAGCACTACTTGTAGTTCTACCGGTCACCAGGGCCCTGCGAACTGTAGCAAACTCAAAGGGAATTATTAATATACGACCTCTGATTGGCTGCTACGATGGTCACCGAGATCATCCCACCAGTAAAAATAACTTTTATTCAACAGAATTCACAGTCACGTACATATTTGATAGGTCCCACCATATTGATTTAATATTGACATACCCTTCAACGTTTTCTCATATTCTTCTCTCTACATTATACCACCATGGCACGCCCATTTAAGCCACCACCGCTGGCAAGAGATACTACTGGATTTCGATGCAACTCGCTCCGCGCGTATGCATGGAAACAATGGACGATGTTTGAAGCCACTTTTGCCATATGCGGTCTGGAACCTTGGGAGAAACTTGTTTTCGGTGAGTACTGCACGCTCGACCTCAAACCACTCCTAACGGTCATGCACATACAGTGATCGTTATGTCTCTACTCACTTTCCTATTCTTCACCGGGCTGTCTCGGGTAATACCCAGTCAGTTGGTCTCACTACTACCTCGCATTGCATACTATCTCTGGGGCGACGAACGGGTACTAAATCACTGGATGGATCACGCGGCAGCCAGTGTGAAGGAGCTATAGCGTTAGGTTTTTGATTGGCAAGATGGATGTAGGTATACTCGACGTTGTCTGTATTGAGGCACAAGGGGAGCATGACGTTTACCTATCAGGTGTGTGTGTTCACATTATGGCGCCCTTACAAAACTCACGGTGATTTTCTTAGGTCCTCCTCGGGATTGAGGCTATTGTATTATGTCTCGTACTTTATTCTTCTATCATTTGTCTTATGGATTCCCCGCTCGTGTAACTTTATTTTCTCAGCTCGTTAAGATACTTGATACAACCCAAATTCGACGAGCGGTGATAGCATCTCACAGCCAGTATCTCCTGAAAAGAAAAGTAGGCCCCGCGCCACCACAAATCACACCTATGTATCTCCATGTACCTCTTACACTATGTACAAGACTACGATTTATCTCGATACCGACAAGAGCCTGAGTATATATATGGACATGGCCACGGAAAAGTGGAGTGAATTTGCTCAGAAAATGAAACGGAAAGACGTCCGGGGAGATTATGGTTTGATAGCAATGATCAGCGAAAGACCCAGTTTTCTCGCTTGCCAGATGGAAATTTGATGCTTACCGTGAACTTACGGCCCTGGTGATGGAACAACACGATTGGCGGGACAGACTTTTCCCGGGCACAATTGCGTGCAAGCAAACTCGACAAACCTCAGGCTGGACATTGCATTTTGGCACTCGAACTATGTATAGCATTTACTAATGAAATTAAATGAAATTAATTTGAAGAGGAAAAGAATAGGAATCACACAGAGAATGGCAGAAACAGTTGATTGGTGGTAGCTAAAGTAACAAAACATGTGTCTAGACTTAGTAAGTAGTGGAATTAAACTAGTCTAATAAGTGCTGGGTGGCTGGGAAGGTGCTGTAGAGTGTGGTTGGGTGTGACTTGGCACAGGAAAGATGCTGGCACATTTAGGGTCTTTGAGGTTCACTTTGATGCAGTTTGAGGGCAAGAATGATATTGTCAGTGGTTACTAATTATGAGATGTGAACTTTGAATGATTGGAGATTGGTGATAGGTTTTCAGGTGAAGGTGTGCAACACTTTCCAGCCCCAAAGAGGGAGACCTAGACTAAAAGAGAGTGAGCTGCAATTCCCAAGTCATTAGGAGTTCAGCAATGCATTCAGTGAGACTTAGATTCCCAAATTGTAAAAGATGGACAGGGTACTCATCACAAACTCTCTCTCAAATTGTGCCTTTCAATACCTTTAGCACCCACTACTCATGTTTCTCTAGTATTAGATGAAGATGAAGACATCTTCTATGATTGTATGTAGATAAGATACAATTAGATAAGATAATGTCATGTGACATAGAAGATTCCATTATGTAAACACTGTATGATTCTCATTCTATTTAATGATTAGCTAGCTCAGATTGTAGTCAGTAGTTCTTTAGTTTAAACCTCTTGTGTATTTATCATTGAATTCACCTAAGGCATACTTGCTCCTTGACTCCTCCTTATGATTATCTTTTGTGTTCTTGTCCTAGTCTCTGCCCTACATTAAGTCATTTAAGGGGTTGTGACTTGTATATATGGCATCTTGGTCTAGGATGAAAAATTCTAGTGGACTGGAGGTATAGTGTAATGAAGGAATTGGTTGTGTAAAATTACTTTTTCAGTAAAACTCAGTAAGGCCTGCTAAAGCTCAGGTAGAGCTTACAGGAAACACAGCTAAAAAGCCACCATAATTGTTGGCACACATTGGCACAATGTCAGACTTTCAAATACAGTGGCTCAAAAAACTGTCCACATGTTTTGACATTTTTCACTATCTATGATATTGTGTAAGAACGAACAAATGGCTCAAGGACATGCTTATACCACATTGTAGTATGGCTTCAGGGCTTTCATTTGAGCCCTACACTGTGGGAATTGGTGGAGATATGGTGGAGACATAAGGCTTGTAAAATGATGACTCATGTGGACAGTTTTTTGAGTGTATATTAAAACTATATAAATCATTATTTATGACACCACAAAAATCATGCCACTATTATATAAATTATGAAGTGGTGTCATTATGTTATTTTATGACTATATCTAACTATATAAACCAGAATATCTCATGTATCATAGTCATAATCACCATGAAAGCCATTTCCTCTGCTCAAAGAGATAATATCCTCTCTCTGTCTTATGCTGGCCTCTCTGCTTGCCAAATTTCCTCTAGAACTGGAGTATGCAAGTCCACTGTGGCCAAGTTTATCAAAGGAAGCCACCCAGACAAGGAAAACTCTTGTGGAGGATGTCCATCCAAACTTACCTCTACTGACAAAAGGGCTATTATCCAACATATCACTACAGGAAAGGCTGATAATGCTGTCCAAGCCACCCATTATATCAATTCCACCATCACTACCCCTGTCTCTTCACAAACTGTGAGAAATGTTCTCAAGGCAGCTCATCTCAAGGCAGTAACAAAGAAGAAAAAGCCTCTTCTCTTCATCAAACATAGGCAGAGAAGACTAGCCTTTGCCTTAGCTCATCAACACTGGACTGTAGAGGACTGGAAGCATGTTATATGGTCAGATGAGACCAAAATCAATAGGATTGGGTCAGATGGGAAGGTATATGTATGGAAAAAGAAGGGAGATGGCCTAACAGACAGAGAGGTTAATGGGACTGTCAAGTTTGGAGGAGGTTCTTTAATAGTATGGGGCTGTATGGGATGGAATGGTGTGGGAATGCTTGCTGAGGTTGAGGGGAAGATGAATGCTGAGCAGTATGTGGACATTTTAAATGACCACTTGCTGCCTAGCTTGGCAGAATCAGGGATTAATGAAGAAGATATCATTTTCCAACAGGATAATGATCCCAAGCACACATCCAGAAGAGCTAAGGAATGGTTTGAAGAACATAACATCAATGTTCTTGACTGGCCAGCACAGTCTCCTGATGTCAATGTCATTGAACATCTCTGGGGAACACTCAATAAAAAGCTTCAAGCCTATGAAAACCCCCCTAAAGGAGTATGGGAGCTTTGGGAGAGAGTAGCAGTGGAATGGGGGAAGATCACAGCTGAGGGTTGCCAGAAATTAATCGAGAGTATGCCTAGAAGGATAGAGGCAGTAATTAAAGCCAAGGGAGGTCATACAAAATACTAGAATACCTGGTTATTATTGTAAAATACTTGAGTCAAAAAACTGTCTGCATGAGTCACCATTTTGTGAGCCTTGTATCTCTACCATATCTCCACCGATTCCCACGGTGTAGGACTCAAATGAAAGCCCTGAAGCCATACTACAATGTGGTATAAGCATGTCCTTGAGCCATTTGTTCCTTCTCACACAATATCATAGATAGTGAAAAATGTCAAAACATGTGGGCAGTTTTTTGAGCCACTGTACATAGCCTTACTCCGTTGCTTACTGATCCTCTTGGATATCCTCTAGTATATAACCCCTGTACAACTTCAGTAGAGTCATCAGTCTGAATATTACCTTAGACTTACCTAATCTTCTTCCAAACTTCAGTCCATCTGAGTTTGTCCTTTTTCATAAGGCCTAGGGATGGATTCCCTAGGCTGGAATTCCAGACCTTTGGATTTGTCCCCTATGTCTCTGTCCCAAGTCTAGGGATTGCTTCCCTAGACTGGAGTCTTGCCTTTCCAGCACTTACCCTCTCTGTAGACTTTGGTCCACTTCCTGTCTCTCTGACTCTACCTAAGGGTAGTCTACCTCTGTTTGCTTCTACATTGGACTTTGTCCAATGTAGCCCCTATTCCTTCCAGACCTCCAGATGTCCTGTCCTTTGTACCTCTGGATGTCCTGTCCTCCTGTCCCCCATACTTCTGGACCTCCTATCCTTCCATCCTGTTTCCCATAGAGATATTACCTTGGGGTCTCTCCACTTCCTGTGCAGTGGGAACTCCTCTGAGTATTTCCTGTACTCCTCCGGAACTCTCCCATTGTGGGAAACACAACAAGAAGAGAACTAGAAAGTAGACTTCTAATGTTAGGTCAAATGTGCTATGCCCAGCTGCTATTCAACCCTAATGGGTTTCTGGACTAAGCTCAGTGCTTAGAGAGAGTAGGAAATCATGCTATAAACTCTCAGTCTCAGACTGGTACTGGTAAGTGGTGAAAACTATGATGATTACATAAGCACCAAAAGTGCAAACATAACACTAAGCAATATCTGCCTATACAAGCCCACAGAATGTGAAATCCCTACACCATGCTCCTTTGGAAGTCCTCTAGCACTTCACCAGAGTAGCCAGCCTCCAGAAGTCCTCCAGACTTCATTGGACTATCATTGGACTTCCTCTGAAATGAAGGGCACATACTTGGGTAAGGGGCACAGCATATGAGCTGAGGTCAAGCCCCTCTGAGTCAGTCTCTCTCTCCCTTGAGCATGGTTCTTAACACCTGGGCTCTATGGATGATCACACAGTATATGAAACTGAAGCAGTCAGACTCACTCTAGTGGCCCAGCTACTTTCCATGGAGGATGATATCACTTACCCTGTATCTATATTCATTGATAATCAGGCTACCATCAAATCCAGTGACGTATTCTTGACTAAGCCAGGTCACTATTTGATAGATCACTTCTGCAGATTGATAACAGACATTAAGAAAGTCAGCCATGACTGCTGCTTCAGAATCATGATCAGGTGAATATTAGGGCACAATGGAGTGGCAGGGAATGAATTAGCAGACCAGGAAGCCAAGAGAGCAGCTGAATCATGCTTGGAATCTAATCCCAGAACACACCTCCCTCCCTTCCTCTGCAAGGAAGTTCTTCCCTGCAGCCTATCCACACTGAAACAAGTGCAGAAACATGAATCCCTTTGAGCACTGGGTGAGATTTTGGAGTAAATCACCATGACATGACCACACCATCAATATCAACCCCAATACCCTCAAGGGCTCCTTTGTCTCCCTTGCTCAACATCTCCCAAAACACCATATCAGTCTGCTTATCTGGCTCCACACCAGACACATCTCACTTAATCAACACCTCTTTCATATTGGCAGAAGTCCCATGCCCAATTGCCCACACTGTGCAACCACCATGGAAATCATACTGCACTTCCTCATCACCTGCCCCCACTATGCATGCATGCACCACATCCTTACCTCTGCACTTCACTGTTGTGCTTCCTCTATGTCCTACCTGCTGTCTAGTCCCAAAGCAAGTGCACCACTCATCCGCTATGTTAACAGCACAGGCCACCTGTGAACAACTTTTGGTGATGTACCTCCCCAAACCCATGCTGATAGATAATGACTTGCTTTATCATGCAGAACAATCCTGAAGCTACTTTCCAAGAGTAAGAATGGTGCAGGCCACCTATCTTCAAGAACTATACTTGAAGACAACAGGATACTGGACCCATTAGAGACCCAGATGGAGAATTTGCCTAGAATAGACTGAGAGAAAGGAGTTTTATTTTCATTAACAGAAAGAACAGGGGATGGTCTATCTTCACTGCTCAACACCCTAGCACCCACCCACTTAGTTCTACTGGAGACACCAACAGCAAGACCCCCTGGACCCCTCACTATTACTTCACTTGATGCTCCACACTCCATCATTTCCTTCATACCCAGTGTCACACCCAAGTACTTGTATCACCCATAGTAAACAATGGGGACATACAGTGGCTCAAAAAAGTATCTCAATGTTTGTGACTTTTCATGTAATTGCTGTATTATGAGCTAGGGCATGAGAATATGACTAAGCCATAGGGAGGTGTGGGAAAGCTCTGTTTCTAAGCTTCATGTTTGATCCATATAGCGTGGGAAGATTATGTCATCAAGTGAAGATATGGTTAATTTAATTTGGTGACTCATTGAGACACTTTTTTGACTTTCAGTTTGGCCAATACAATCTCTATAATTCTAGTACTTGATGCTTCCTCATGTTGCTCTAATTACTTCCACCACTCTTCTATGCATACTATCTATCAATTTGAGGCATTCCTCATTAACAATCTTGCCTCACTCTGCTGCAACTCTCTCCCATAGCTGAAATAACCCCTATTGAGGTTCTTGATAGACTGTAAGTGATATCTTGAGCAATTACCAGGGCTGTTCAATAGGGTTGAGGTCTGAGGACTGGACTTACCATGATAGCACACTAATGCCATAGTTTTTAAACCATTTTATGGTCAACTTGAAATATACTTAGGGACATTGTCTTGTTAGAAGGGATCAAACATGAAGCTTAGAAGCAGAGCTTTCCTACACATCCCTATTGCTTAGTCATATTCTCACACCCTAGCTCATAATACAGCAATTACATGAAAAGTCACAAACATTGAGACACTTTTTTGAGCCACTGTACATACCATGAACTGCACAGTAATGGTCCCACTAATTGGAAGGTTTGCACATCTAAAATGGCTGGTGGGAATGGCAGACTGATGGAATCAACCCTCCATCAGGGCATTTGTGAAACCAGAGATGTGGCAGGGGACACAGGTGTCCCTCATTCCTAGTTAGAAATGTCCTACATAGGGTACTGTACCCTACACAGACATAAATTGGATTTAAAAAAAAAGCCAACCATGATGCTTAGGTGGAGTAAAAGGGTAAAGATGAGATTAAAGATTTGGCAAATGCAAATCAATCACTTATGTGTGTGCCAGGGCATCTAAGACAACTTATATAAAGTACAAGGCTGATGACAAGTGTACATTGATTGAAGTATCCAAGGCATAAAGTGACAGTGTCAGAAAAATAGCAGAGATAACTGTTCTACAGCTAGTAAGAGACAACAAACAATAAGCTGGTGGTACTCTGAGTATTGAGACAAGGATACAGGTAGTCAATCAAGTGATGAAAATACAGAACTGCAATACAAAAAATGAGAGGCTAAGTACTTGCCTTGGCTTTTGATTTAGCCTTTTTGCTCCCCTGCATTCCAGATTTACCAACCTGAGGTAAGAGAATGGGTGCACTAAGCCCTGCTTCACTAGCTCCTGATCCCCTCACATGCTTGGTGTCAGGGTGTGTCTTAGCAGCCTTTCTCTTACTCCCTACATGCTCTTCATCTCTATCATCATCTACAAGCAAGGGCATGCAATTACCCATTTCAAGATAGTACTGATAATGGACCTGAGCCTCTTTAAGTTCCTCATTCTTGGGGTATAGATTGAGGGCAGGGTTGATGCTGTCACAGATATGATACAGTACCAAAAGCAAGCTTTCATATGTGATTAGTTGGAGGTTAATGCAGCATCCATAGCCATCCAGGTCCTTCTCATCATGACCCAAGAAGAGATTGTGCAACTCAAGCATCCCCTGTTGAATAGCTTTATAGCAAAGTATGTCATCATGGGATTGGTGAAGTTGATGAAGGTCATACCACCCCTCTGCTGGACAATCTCTAAGGGAGGAAGTGTGTAGACTCCTGGACAGATCCATGATAAGTACTGGGGTATGAAGGGTTTTTCAGAATATGGGGAGGTGAGAAAAGAGGAACATGTTGTGGGAAACACAATAAGAAGAGAACTGGAAAGTAGCCTTCTAAATGTTGGGTCAAATGTGCTATGCCTAGCTGCTATTCAACCCTAAAGGGTTTCTAGACTAAGCTCAGTGCTCAGAGAGGATAGGAAATCATGATAATAACTCTCAGTCTCAGACTGGTACTGGTAAGTGGTGAAAACTATGATGATTACATAAGCACCAAAGTGCAAACATAACACTAAGTAATATCTGCCTATACAAGCCCACAGTAAGTAAAATCTCTACAGTGTGGGGTCCAAGACCTTTCCATAAGTCTTGATCTCAGCCATGTGTTAGATGTCCAAAGATTTAATAGACCTGGACTGGTTGAAAAGCTTCATTTCCCCATGATGCATATTAAAAGGACCTGCACAGTTGCAGGTAATGAGGTAGGCCAACCAGAAGTAAGACTGCAGGTCATGATGGAACTGGACTGGTCCCCTAATGATTGACTGGTTAGACTCAAAGGGAAGTGTCCCCTGTCTATCATATCAGTTTTAATGTTAAAGGTCAGAAAATGACTTACTGTGTGTGGCAGGTGCTCCTCTCCTGCAAGATCTGTACAGTCTGTGGCAGATCCCCAATCAAACAACATCCTATCTCTCATATCCAGCCTTCAGGCACTTTTTCAGGACATGAAGGGATAGTGGATTTGGCAGAGATATCTTGCACCAGGAGCATGGAGTTGCCATCCTAACATCATGATGCAACACCTGTCAATGTTCATAAGCATTGCAATGACCTGAAACAAAAGTTAGAAATGATAATTTTAGGTAGGCAAAATTTTCATCTTACCAATGACAGCACCGATGATACCATGGAACATTTCTCATGTGGTTCTAAAACCACAAAATGTTGATTCCACAAGTAGTAAAAGTAGTATGGGATTGATGTTGTTCTTCAAGTTGGCAATCTTTTAGAGATGCACTAAAAATCTTGTCCAAGTCCTCTACTAGGATCATCACAGCACTTATGGAAGTGACAGACATATGAGAAGGAGATTTGCTCAATGGACCAAAGGAAGGGCACATGTGGTCTTTCATAATTGTGATTCCTGGGAGGGAATTGATCTTGTCCCAATATAGATTGTGAACATGGCAATAGACTCCATCTAGCTTCTCAGCACACTCTTTGTCCAAACAATCATCATGATCTTCCTCTTCAGGAATCTTGAGAAGGGACCTGTCATTGTTTGGTGTAAGATGTACAAGAGGGTCATGTGCAGGGTCCTGCAGTTTCTTATGTACCATATGATTGCTCATCATTTCTGATGGATCCCAACAGTCCTTGATCATGAGATGTGTCTGGTTCAATCTGTGCTTCACTGCAAAGACACATGTGACTTTGCCATACAGACCTAACCACAGGCATCAAGAGAATATAAGATTTGAATACAAATAACACATACCTATTTATTGATAAAGGTTTCCAACCAGGGAAAATTCTTCACCTTCTGTTTTTTTATCTTCATCATCCAACCAATAAAGCTTGTCATCCCAGATCTGGAGTGTGGGATGATGGAATATGTAAGTGTCATATTCCAACCATGAAAGTTCTGACTCAGTGAAGTAGTTGATGACCTTCGAGAACATCTTGGGGTAGGGAGTGAATGCTCTCACCATGGGTGAATCCAGACATATGAAGGGCTGTTCCACACAGGCTAAGAGAAGGGAACCATCAATATTGAGGTTGGTGATGGAAGATGAAGGCTGCTTTATCACCCAGTTGGTTGAGTGCACTCTGAAAAAGCTCAGGAGAATCATTCCACTTTAACTCCATAGCAAAAATAACTTGGAACCACCTGACCTTCTCTGAACTGTTGGAGATCAAGATGATATCAGGACTGTAGATACCTTTAATGAGGTCCCTGCTGAAGGCCTTCCATATGCACTGGTTCCCAATAACAGCAGCACCCCTTGTTACAAAGCTTTTGAGCTTGCAGGATAGCTTCTTGACCTGAAAATCAAAATCAAAGGTAAGTTTCTAAGTAGTAGCAGGTGTTGCTCACCTCATTGAAGAAATTGAAAAGAAGAGCCTCATGTGACAGATAGAATGGTACACCAGGCAGCTCCACCCAATGTTCACATTGTAAAGGAATCAGTGCATTTGAAGGCTGTCCCCACTGATATGCTTCAGAGGGTGTTATCTGGAGAATTCCATCTGCAATCCAGTCACTTTTCTATCATCCTATCACTCTAAGGACAATCATGAACCAGTAGTTGACCAATTTCTTCCTTCATAACATTATCTACAAATTTATGCTTGAAGTGATACTTCACATCTGCTCCCAAAAGGGAACCAATCTGCAGTTGAAGAAAATTTTAGCAATATCTAGGGCATGGGCCTTGGAACTCACCCTGGTGCACAAGTTGTGTGGTATTGGGGGATGAAGCTTAACCCTTTGTTGTTTTTCTGCATGACAGCTGTCACTGGTGCCAGTGGCTGGATCCTGCACTTTCCTTTATGTAGTAAGTGATTTTAGCTAGAAGTGTCATATCCCACAATCCAGACCCATGTTCCATCATATTCCCACGCCTTCTGAGCCTACGTCCAGACCCCATATCTGACTCATTCCCAGATCCCCTTCTGCTGTGTACTCCACACCTCAGCAGGATCGACTACGCTCCAGATTTACCCCTGAGCTCTGGACCTCTGGATCCTCACTGCTAGCCTGATCCATACAACCCTATCCTGTCCACCCTATGTGCACTCCATCCAGCAAGACATCTGGACTTCACCTCATCTCAGATTCCGGACTATATCCACCTTCTCGTATTCCGGTCCTGTATCCACCTTGTCTTCTGGATCCCCAGATCTCTGGACCTCTGGATATTAACTGTTACTATCTCTGGACCTATTCCCACCCTCTATCTGAGATCCTGTGCCTATCCCCATTTAGGCATCTCCGCCTTTCCGGTTCTCGGTTATCTCTGTTTCTGTCTTGCTGATTGATCCTTGTACAAGTCTTTGTCTCCAAGTTCATTTACTTATGTTCCATCTTACTTACCAATGTGTTTCCACATGCTCATACATAGCCTTACTCCGTTTCTTACTGATCCTCTTGGATATCCTCTAGTATATAACCCCTGTACAACTCCTGTAGAGTCCTCAGTCTGAATATCACCTTAGATCTGCCCAATCATCTTCTGGACTTCAGTCCATCTGAGTCTTGTCCTTTTCTGTAAGGCCCAGGGATGGATTCCTTAGGCCAGAATTCTGGACCTTTGGATTTGTCCCCCATGTCTCTGTCCCAAGTCTAGGGATTGCTTCCCTAGGCTGGAGTCTTGCCTTTCCAGCACTTACCCTCTCTCCAGACTTTGGTTCACTTCCTGTCTCTCTGACTCTACCTAAGGGTAGTCTACCTCTGTTTGCTTCTACATTGGACTTTGTCCAATGTAGCCCCTATTCCTTCCGGACCTCCGGACCTCCTGTCCTGTGCACCTCTGGGTGTCCTGTCCTTTGGATGTTCTGCCCTCCATACCTTCAGACGTCCTGTCCTCCTAACCCTTGGACATCCTGTCCTCCTGTCCTCTATACCTCCAGACATCCTGTCCTCCTGTCCTCCATACTTCTGGACCTCCAGACATCCTGTCTTCCTGTCCTCCTGTCCTCCTGTCCTCCTGTCCTCCAGACCTCTGGACATCCTGTCCTCCTGTCCTCTGGACCTCTGGACATCCTACCCTTCCATCCCATTTCCTGTAGAAGTACTACCTTGCAGTGGGAACTCTCCTCCAGAAGTCCTCCCACACTCTCCACCAGAGTAGCCAGCCTCCAGAAGTCCTCCAGACTTCATTGGACCATCATCAGACTTCCTCTGAAATGAAGGGCACATACTTGGGTAAGGGGCACAGCATATGAGCTGAGGCCAAGCCCCTCTGAGTCAGTCTCTCTCTCCTTTGAGCATGGTTCTTAACAGCAGCAGGGAAATGTAAGCAATCCCTACATATTCCCAACCTCACATTAATTGATTGCAAGAATAGAAGGTCAGCAGGTCTCTCAGAATCTCAAGGTCTCTTCATGATGCAGCCTCACAAAAGAAATGTTAAAGGTATTTGCTATGTGACAATACAAGGAATATTAGTAATGTTATTTGTGCCTGGCACATGTGTGATTCATTCACATGAGTGCCCTCCCAACTCCCATGGGAATTTTTCCTTGAAAACTAACCATCAATGCAATGGAGTTCAACATGTCTAAGAGAGAGCTATCTCTGGCTATATATGCCCTGCTTCAGATTAGAGAAAGGGAAGCCCACCTTCTGGCCTTGCACCTTCAACATGTGGTTGCCACAGACATGGAACCTGATCAAGATAAAAGTAAGATCCAGTTGCTTAGCTGGCAGGAAGCACTCACCAATCTGAGTCTCTGGAAAAGGAGAATCCTACAATCCCAGTGGAGATGAAGAAATCCAAACTCATCATGGCTATCTCACTTGTAGCATCGCCCACAATCATGCCATTGCCTGAGCCCCTTCAGTGACAAACTCTGTATCATACAGGTCACCCAACCTACATAATATCCCATATAAGATGGGCCAGTGAACTATGGGCTGATGTTATGTATATCCTCAATGTTAATGGGTGGGCTGGGAGGGATATTATTTCCAATGGGGATGGGTGGGCCCATCTATACTGATGTTATAAACATCCTCAATGATGGCAGATGGGCCAGGAGAAATATTATTACCAATGGAGATGGGTGGGCCCATCTGGATAATATGTAGAGTAGGATAGACATATATTATGGATAGCTGGGCTGAAGAGACATGTATGGCAGATATTATTATATAGATGGGTGGGCCAATGGGGTAGTGAAATATTTATTATATATACAGGTGGGCCAATGGATTTATTATATATATGGGTGGGCTGACGTGGGAGTATATTAGATAGACAGGTGGGCCAATGTGGCAGTGAAATATTTATTATATAGATGGGTGGGCCAACATAGGGGTATATTACATAGATGGGTGGGCCAACATGGGGGGATGTCATATAGATGGGTGGGCCCAGATACATATCATTTAGACATATGGGCCAAGGTATTGGTATAATACCCCTATATGAGTGCATATACCTACCATCAACCACCAAAGCCCAAAGCCTGAAAACCTGAATACACCATGTCTGACATTTACCAATCACCGAGTACTGAAGCCCAAAAGCCCAAAAACCAAAAGCCAGTGTGCAACATATCCATTTTTCATTCACCATAAATCACTGAGTCTCGAAACCTGAACACCCAAAACCCAAATCTCAAATCTCAAAAATGTATATAACATGTAAAATTTTTATTCCATTACACAAATCACTGAGTGTTGAGTGCCAAACCCTGAAACCTGAAGCTCAAAACTCAAAACTCAAAAAAGTTTGAAGTCCATTTGTTGAATCACTGAGTGCCAAGTGCCAAAGATGTATGCAATATGTGAATTTTTCACTACACAAATCACCAAGTGTTGAGTGCTGAGACCCAAAACCCAAAGCACAAAACTCAAGACTTGACACCTGAAATTTGAAAACCAAAAACCAAACACCAAATCTTGAAAAAATGTATATAACATGAATTTTTATTATTTCATTGCACAATTCACTGTGTCAGGGGCCAAAACCCAAAGCCCAAAACTTGAGACTTGACACCCAAAATTCAAAAACCAAAAACCAAACACCAAATCTCAAAAAAATGTATATAACATGAAATTTTTTTATTTCATTACACAATTCACCAAGTGTCAAGTGCTGAAGCCCAAAACCTGAAACCCAGTACTACTGACTTCTGAGTGTTGGGACTCAGGACTCAATAGTCAATATAGGCAAATGATGATGAAAAAATGAAAGTTGTTATTATGCTTAACTTTCTTAACAAAGGTTGTAGTCTGAGTCAAGGTGAGTGTCTTGGTAGTCTTTCCTTGTCCATTGGTTATCATTTGACCAAGATATAAGCTAAACAAATCCAAAACATCAGCGATAATGAAAAAATGAAAATCATTATTATGCTTCACATCCTTAATGAAAGTTTTAGTCCAAGTCTATGTGAGTGTATTGGTGGTCCTACTGAGTGTCAGTACTTGATACCTGGGAATCAGTAGTCAGGTATAAACAGTTTGCAGTTGATTTTACATGTATTCCCATGAGCTGCAGCACTTGCAGGCATATTACATACATACTTCTGGACCCAGAATTTCAACTAGCATTCCAGATTTCTATGCACTTAGTTAAGTACCATGCAGATGCATAGGATACCTTATGTTAAGGTTGTGCTCAAGGGCTAACTGGATCTGAAGGGCTTTGGCCTCAGCTTGTGCACTGTGCCCCTTACTCAAGTATTGCCCCTTATTTCAGGAAGGCAAGACTAACGTGTCCAGAGAGTTGGATGGGTAGTGTAGCAGATCTGGATGACTTCCAGATGTGGGATAAGTATCATAAGGCTAATCTGGATAAGTCCAGACTAGAAACTAGCAGTAGTGGCTGTTGTAGACAGAGGTGGATGTGAATAGACTATAGGAATCAATCCTAAGTCTTGAAGGGTGACAAGAGTAGAGATACTCAGGTCCGGAGGACAGGAATGAGCAGAACTAAGTTGATATTTGAACTGAGGTACTACAGAGAGTTACAGGAGGTTATATACTATAGGTATCTAACCGAATGATCAATCAGCAGAGTCCAAGGCTATGTATGAAGCATATGGATGGTCTATTGGTAAGTAGAAATGGATCACAAATAATGAAACGGAAATGAAGCATAGGTAATGGATCAGGGAGCAGGATGGATATACAGATAACCAAAATACTGGAGTTAGGGGATTACTGAAAGGAGATGAGCACTGGTTGTGGATTTGGATGAATTGTGGACTGGACCAGACAAGTGGACAGAATGGATGACAAGATGTTGGAGGGAGATAAGATGTGGATCAGATCTGAGATCCAGATATGTGGATATGACACCTTACCATTTACCACCTCTCCTTACCTCTCTAGAGTCTTGGTCACTAGATACTCCTGGTACTTTGGTGTACTTTGGTGTACTTTGGAATATATCTTTTCACTCATTTTCCAGACCTGTATTTTGGAGACTTTGTCTCCCCTTATGTTATCACTCCCTTGATAGTCTCTCCTTTGCAAATACCTTGTCTATACCTAGTCCCTTTGCATTCCCTTTGCATTTCCTTAGTTTCCAAACCTCATTCTACCATACCCTTTCCCTTTCCCGCTCTGGCCAAAGGTTCCCATGCTCTGGCTGACACTTTTTACCTCTGGACTTGTTATTTCTACCTTTGGGCTACCTTTGCATAGCTTCATGTTTATTGATATCATAACTACTAACACTCATCTAGTCACAGATCCCTCATGGGTTGAACATTCTTGCTTTTGCAGGTGAAGCAGCTAGGCAGATGCAGAACCATATAGAGTAGAGCTGTTTTAT